ACAGTTGAGTGAAAATGAAAGTGTGATAACATTGTGATTCATAGTATTGGTTCAATATTGATAGAAGTTAGGTGCAACATATGGAGTTGTAAGATGCAATACTTGTCCTTAATTCAGTTTGATACAAAACAATTTAATGATGCATAAATATTATGTGTAAGATGCATTAGTTTAAGAAATGAGATGCATTGTGTTGATGAATATGACTTATGCTTGTGAGTCACGTGGATGCATAATTTTATGGTACAAGATGCATTTAACCAAGCCAAGTGTTGCAGGTCTCATAACAGTTGGATTAGTACTTGTGCTTATGAGTTAGGTAGTACTGTAAAATTTTGATTGAAAGTCAGTGTATATGTTCACATTGAACCTTATTCATATTGTGATTTTTGTATGTGACTAGTACAAGTAAGCTAAACAATGGCATGCACATATAATACAAAATGAAGAAGAGAATCAAGTGATATGAACAAAAAGAAAACAAGAAGGTGCATTGACAAGCAATGTGCAACAGAACAAAAAGGGCAAAGGAAAGAGGAAAAAATGCAAATGTTAAAAACTAACTTTTGACATATACGATTCATTTAAAATTGTGAAAATCTAATTTGAATTCTTGTCACTACATTAGGAAGAGACGCTCCTGTGATGAATATGCAGCATGATGAGCGCAGAGAAATGAATTGAAAGGCAAAGGCAGGAAAACAAATTCAAGTTTAATTTGTTATGAACTTTAATATCATAGATTCCATACATGTGTTGAGATCTTTACAAAAGATATTTTGTCATGTATAATATGACATTGACAATTGTAATATGCAATACAAAACATATAAAAATGCAAAATTGTGAAGTATAAGATGATATTAGCAGTTATATGCCCTTGTTATAGAATGATGCATAAACAAATATTCATTAATGCAGTACTTGTCATAGAATGATGCATAAACGAATATTCAATGATGCAAATGGTAAAGCAGGGACCGATAAAGCCAAACAATAACAAAAAATTGAAAATAGATACTACAAAATTAAAATACAAAACCATTAATATAAAAGTATATTAATTTCCAACGTACAGTTTGTACGTATAAGCAATGTCAAACAACATCAATAACAAACGTAAACTTTAACTTAAAGCAAGCCTATTTATTCAAAGGCAATTCCCACTATCGTGATGCGCCATCTCATTGCATGATTTACAAAATCTTTTGGGGCGTTGAGATTCTTCAATTGAAACTTCCTTGGAAGACGTCATCCTACGTCCAGAACTCTTATTTTTGCCTTCTGCGGGGGGGGGGGGGGGGGGGGGGGGCACAGTCACTTCGAACGACACACAACAACCACAAAATGATTCAATTAATGACTTGTTTGTTGAATCGTGACCAACACCTTTATGTACAGAAAGGAAAAACTCCTTTTGGTCTTTAATTATACCTGAAAACTGCTTCAAGTAGCTGTGATTATTTTCAACAAAGGCCATACAGGCATATATGTGAGACCATAGTGTTAACAGAGATCTTATTCTTCCTTAAAAAACAAAGATCTTATTCTCCTCCATCAATAAAGTCTGCTCAAATATGGAATCAGAAAGGCATATATGTGAGACCATAGTGTTAACAGAGATCTTATTCTTCCTTAAAAAATAAAGATCTTATTCTCCTCCATCAATAAAGTATGCTCAAATATGGAATCAGGAATTGAAGTCAATGGCTTCACTAAACCCTTTTTGCACTATCTGCTATTAATCAAATATCAATCCAACAACCGGTTTCTTTTCGGGTGAACATTCAGGGATCCAATACTTTGAACCCCCAGGAGAAATTTGAAAACCACAATTCGGATCTATATAAACAACAAACGATCTATGATATTAAACATGAACAAAAACTAATATTAAAAAACAATAAAAATATTAGTTCACTAAATGCACCATACAACACAAACAAATGCATAATACATATTTTACCTTACAGAAGACAAAAATGGAAAACAAACAGAATTTCAACAAATATTAAAATAATTATGTAATCTCTTTACGGTAATGAAGCTGCAGTTCGGTTTCATTCATAATTCATATACAATAGAGTACACATAAGGAAAACATACATACAAAGTGAAAAAAGGTAACATTATCAACATTTAATTATGAAATCTGTTAGTGAGAAGATACATGATAAAATCGATCTGAATTGCGAATCAATTGCACGACCTGGACACACGAACAGAAAATACGATCAACATCTGAAGTTTTGTGTGTGTGTATAAAACGGAGTTCATGAAAAATATATGAGTACCTGATTCCATGGCGTTCTATGTTAATGAAGAGAAATGATTAACTGTAGCAAATCATAATCCATGACGAAGAAGACAAGCGCAGAGATGAAATCCATGATCGATCGGAAAGTAACCAACGTAATTTGTGTTCCATTATAGAAGTGGATTAATTGACTAAAACACCCTCAATTTTAATTAGTTGGCTGTGAACAGTTAACATAGATACGAACGGTGATCTGCACTAAATGAATGGCTAGGATTAGTTTGTAGATTAGTAAATTAAACCTAGTTTGTATTTGATCTCTAATCTATATATATAAGAAGAACTTTTTAAGAGCATACAAAGCGCCACATAATCATGCCATGTCATTATATATAACAATTATTTACTTATTTTTATACCTTTTGTTTTTATTAGATTCTATTTTTGATTGCATATTGATTTTGGAAACAAAAATCCTTATAAATCCACCTTAATTATTTATGTAAGCTTCAAATAAGTAAAATAATATTTGGTTATCAAAGTGAAATTCTAATAACTTTTATTGATATGGAAACTAATTTATATTAGTTTACTACACCGAATTAAATAGAAACAAAAATGCAAATAGGTTTACCTATTAATTTGACACCTATTAATAAATTAGTAAGCTTCAAATAAGTAAATAATTAAAAATGAAATTAAAAATTATAACCAACATAAAGTATATATATTTTCACAAGTAAATATCTTTAGCTTAGCCAAATAAGTATTTTTTTTGGTTGTTTCTTTATTTTACACCTAAAATTCAAATATGTCTTCACTTTTGAAATAGATTCCTAATCCAAATTAGAAAATCTTTATAGGTTTACGAATTCCTACTTTTATTTTAATAGAATATTTTTAATTGGATTGATTTCAGTTCCAAAGTAAATCAGATCAGATCAAACTTTAATAATTATAACAATAAGTCACATAAAAATAGACATCTAATAGACCATATTAATTCATACCAAATCAAACCTGAAATTTTAATTCAATTAAAACGTTCTTATTAATGAGTAAACTGTAAGATCTAACAATTAAGAAATATAGAATTTTTTTATTATTGTGTCCATAACAATTATGTTTACTTGAGATGCTTATGTAGAAGACCAATTTAACTTTTTTTCATATATTTTTTTCTTTGTTTCACAAATGGAATATATTTCACACATATTTTTCATGATTCAGAAGATTCCACCTATTTAACCAGAATTCAATCAATTTCAGCAAAAAAAGTTGATTCTATTTACTTTAGTATTATCAAACAAACTCTATATTAGACTAAGTTTATTTTTCTTTTGAATCACATTATATGTGATCCGATAGAAATTAAATTTCAAATTAGCTAAATTACATACTGCATCGCACGGGCTTGAAAGCTAATACTCAATATGGAGAAGAGTGAATACTCATTAGAATAGTCAGTATGACCGTATTGCATTTGTAATGGACCGGTTATTTATTTATGGAAGAACTATCAAATAAGCCTTCCAACTTTCATAAAAAGTGCAGATAAACTCTTTTACAGGAGGCTTTGTCCGGCTTTCTCCATTTGAGGCGGTTTTTGGTGGAATTTTTTGATGAAATTTTTTGAGCATCTTCTTCATTAAGTCTAGTTTACCCATACCAAATTTCAGATAAAACTTCAATCGAGAAGACAGTCAAATGATTTTCTGAAATGTACTGCGCTGTCTAACTGCACAGTTATCTTCAAATATTCATTTGACTGCCTTCCCGATTGAATTTTTAACTGAAATTTGGTATGAATAAACTAGACTTAATGAGGAAGATGCTCAACATGTAAAAAATTCGAGACGGCCGAACAGAGCTTCATGTAAAAAGGTTTATTTGCACTTTTTATGAAAGTTCGAGAGTTTATGTGATAGTTTTCACTTTATTTATTTATTTATTTATTTTATGGCCTTAGAATCCTCCGTATTGGGTGTATTGCCAATTGCATATTTCATATTGTGAATTATAGGAATTAGACATCAAAACTAAAATTTCAAACAATTAGAACCCAAGGGCATAAATGGATGGACTTTGTTGACTAATTTGAGTGTGTGGCTAGGATTTCATTGAGTTTGTAGAATCTTAATGGGGTGCTCCATCATTTTAATGGGAGTTTTGCAAGAGGTACATTTTGTGTTTTAATTTGGGGCATCACCTTTATCTAACATATAGAAGTATATATAACACACTAATTAAAAATGTGGAAGCCACTGAAGTAATTATACCTATTGATTCTACAATACTCTACAAAAGATATAAAAGCAATTTAAAACCAAAAACTCTGCAATCCTAACACTTGTCATAAATAGCTTTATTATATCTAGCAAACATAACAGGAAGCAGGCAAAGCATTCTTCAGGATGTCAACCTGATTCCCCACAAAGTTTCCCAAAAAGCAGATAATGCAAACCAAATGTTCATTGCAAGAGAGCAAAGATTGAGGGGGGTAAAGAAAAAGATGACAAGGGAGGAGAGGGAGGCAATGGTGGCTTACCCTCTACGCCTAAACAAACCTATGCGCTGCAAATGGAGGAGCCCTTGTACGTTGGTAGCTCCTCCTCGGTGGCGATGGAGGCGGCGGAATTGCACGAAGCTCCCTCCACAATGCTGGGAGACTACCCGCCCGTTCGAACCTACGGTGATCTAAGGAATTTGTTTTGGATAGAGTCTGCAAAGGTCTGGAGCATTGCTGGGCCTATTGCCTTTAATATTTTGTGTAATTATGGGATTAATTCTTTCACCAGTATCTTTGTTGGGCATCTCGGGGATGTGGAGCTCTCTGCTGTTGCCATTTCTCTATCAGTCATCGCCAACTTTTCATTTGGTTTCTTGGTTAGGTTCTCTACCTATTTCCTCATTCACATGATTCCCCTTTATGTCACATAAGGGTTAATTAGCTTAAATGGTTGAATTATTGAGTTTCCTAAAAGAAAACGTGTTTGGTAGAACCCATTTCAGCAAATACGTTAGTCAAAAGCCGTAGGAATTTTTATGTCATCCCAATTCGACCAATATAAGGATGTAACTCACATAAGTGTTATGGCAATTCAAGAGACTCTCATACCAGTTTGACCTTTTGGATGGGGACCTCAGCTTTTAAGTTTTAATTAATGTCATATTAAAGTCTAATAAACTCAAGCAAGCAACTCGTCTGACTAAGACTTAATAGAGCACTTCAATTTCAAGATTGATCCGCTGCAATGATGCACCATCTTATGGTGCATATCAAGTCATTCACAACGGCCAATCATATAAAACCTAGCCCTTCAATTAGATTGACCTTGTATTATGAAACTCAAGTCTTAATAGAAACATGGTCAAAAGCTACTTAAATATTTTGCTGATAATAAGCCGAATAAGGCAACCAAACGGGATGTAAATTCTAATTGTTTTGTATTTTTATTATGTTTTTTCTCAATGATCAGTTAGGTATGGGTAGTGCACTAGAAACTTTATGCGGGCAAGCATTTGGAGCTGGTCAGATAGAAATGCTAGGGGTGTACCTGCAAAGATCATGGTTAATCTTAGGAGCATCATGTGTGTGTATGTTGCCACTGTACATATATTCCACCCCAATACTAAAAATGTTGGGGCAAAGAGAAGATATAGCAGAGCTAGCAGGAGACTTTTCCATTAAAATAATACCTCAAATGTTCTCCCTGGCAATAAATTTCCCCACACAGAAATTTCTTCAAGCACAGGTCAAAGTCGGGATTCTGGCTTGGGTGGGCTTTTTGGCACTTATCACGCATATTGGTCTGCTTTTCTTTTTCGTTAGAGTTCTTAGATGGGGGACCAGTGGAGCTGCTGTTGCATACGACGTGTCTGCTTGGGGTGTGGCATTGGCTCAAGTGGTGTACATTGTTGGGTGGTGCAAAGATGGATGGAGAGGGCTGTCTTTGTTGGCTTTCAAAGATTTGTGGCCATTTGTCAGGCTCTCTGTCGCTTCTGCTGTGATGTTATGCTTAGAGATTTGGTATTTCATGACTATTATTGTTATGACAGGTCACCTTGGTGATCCTGTCATCGCCGTTGGCTCCCTTTCCATCTGGTATTTGCTATTTTCTTTTTATCTCTTGTGCTTATGAGGATATTGACTTGATTGCTTACTACTTTGTTTATTGGTCTTTTCAGCATGAACCTTAACGGATGGGAGGGCATGTTGTTTATAGGGATTAATGCAGCAATAAGGTAGATTACGATACAGTTTCAATATTCCATCTCATTATTGATTACTTTTTTAATTTAGAAGTTTAAAGTAAGCCCATGAAGAGTTGAAACGTCTAGCTCATTTGATTGATAAAATTCACATTAATTGATTAATAACGTCTTAAACTATTAATTATGTATTACGCATTGACTGATCAGAATGAGTGATACACAAATGAGATACTAAAAGTGGGATAGGTGATTTGAACTCGCCCAAGAAACCTAACAAAATATAAAATTTGGCAAAGGAAGATGACCTCTTTTATATGGCTGGTGGCATGTTGATGTTTTCTTGATGTGGCTACTTCAACAAGAATTTTACAAATTTGCCACACTAAAGTGGATCCATCTTAAAACTGTGTGATCATGGTGATTTGGATGAATAACCTAACCAAACCATACCATACATACCCAGTATGCTTGGTAAGGTGTGAAGTGAAATGTAAGCAGACTTTGCATCTACCTAGTAGTAGATAGACTGTTTCCGGCTAAGAATTCTTTTGCATGATTATAGAATTTTGATAATTCATGAACTTGTTCAAGTTTTGTGTAAATTTTTTATTTTGAAAAAAATAATCAAAGGTGAAAAGTAAGGCAAGCTTTTTCCGATGAACATATATGTTACATAAGTTTAGACAATCAAATGACAATAAATCTCATACCACTGATCACTGCTTATCTTGGATTAAGAAATGAATGATGTTTGTTTGTTGTTGTTTTTGGACAGTGTTAGGGTATCAAATGAGCTAGGGTCAAGCCATCCAAGGGCAGCTAAGTACTCAGTGTATGTCATAGTGGCTGAATCCCTCTTGATAGGGCTCTTTAGCATGGCCGTTGTCATAGCTGCAAGGAATCACTTTGCTGTATTCTTCACTGACAGTGTGAAAATGCAGAAAGCTGTTTCCGATTTGGCCTATCTCCTCGGTGCAACTATGTTGCTTAACAGTGTTCAGCCTGTTATTTCAGGTCCCTAAATTCTTCCAGTAATGACTTCATATTGAAGGGACAAAGAGTATATAGAAACAATAAGACTAACTCAGTAGATTCGTCTTCTTTCTTGACAGGTGTAGCTGTAGGAGGAGGTTGGCAAGCACTTGTGGCATATATCAACTTGACATGCTATTACATCATTGGTCTTCCTCTTGGTTTCCTTTTAGGTTATAAATCAAACTTAGGAGTTCAGGTATAATAAAACTTGTTTCAATTTATTAATTGATTTCTTTAAAATGATGTGATAAAATAATAAAGTTTTGTTTAGTTAGAAAGAATTTGAGAAGAGAAACAATTTGTTCGAGCTGTCATATATTCAGGTTTATAAGGCATGTTAGGGTGATGTCATGAATTGTTTGGCATCTAAGTCACATTTTTAATCATCAATGCACTTTTTTCATTCTACTATTATCTCTCAAAAACTCCAAAACATCCTCGCAAAAAAAATCTAAAACACGTTTTTCCCTTGAAGATGGTCTTATAATTGTTACTAGAGCAAGTAATTTCTCTATGCCTTCGATTGATTGGACAGTGTAATTGTTTCAAAGTGGATTAATTTTTGTACCAATTGGCTGTAGAAAACATTCTCAGTGGATTTGTTCATGTCAGAATAGTTTATTATTACTGTGGTTTGTTTCTTCAATTTGGACTCGTTTTGTTGCAGGGAATATGGATAGGCATGATAATGGGAACTTCTTTGCAAACAATTGTTCTTTGCATAATAGTATGGAAAACCAATTGGGAGGAAGAGGTAATACTTTGTTTTTCAGAGATAACTACCGTTAGTTTATCACCTATCATTCATTTGAATATGGGGAAAGATGTTGGCTTTTCTTTATCAAAGGAATGCGGTTTTCCGAAAATCTGTTCAATTTTAATTCCAGGTGGAACAAGCATCAGAAAGAATGCGGCGATGGACTGTAAACGATGATGATGATGAAGTTCGGTTGATTAATTAACCCCTTTGACACTTCATTACCTTCACGTAGTTTGATCCAATTGTTGCACCTCTTTATTAACTTTAGTGTAGAATACTAGAATAGTTTAATTCTTACGGAGTATTTTGAGAACTCGTCACTTTTAAATCCCTTTTGTGCATGGTAGATTTGTTACCTTTAGTTCAAAAAACTAAAACAACAACACCATAAACACCATATATGTCTCCCGCGAGAACAAAAATGAAGGCAGTATGTCTTTAGCATTACTCACTTAATAGTGTAGAAGACTCCTGAACCAGATGATAAACATATACAAAAACACAACCCCTTATTTAATATTAAAGGGATGAATACTGAAGAAATTATTTGGTTCTCTCTTGTGTGACAAGATCTATCCGCTGTCTTAAAATTATCTAAGATCCATTTACAGTACACAAATGAAGCACCACACACGATGGTAAATTGTCTTTGCCTTCACAGTTATATACATGATATCTTTATTTTAGGAGAGCCTCCTTCAATTGCATGCACACAATCTGCTGTGGTTTCATCCAATTCTGCATGCAACATGTCAGAAAATGCAATCTTTATCACAGCAGTAAATCTATACAAACTGTATATGGTTAGATATATATAATCATTGGCCAAAAATAGTATTGAGTTATCATCTATATTTTGTTTGAGAAATAAGGGAATTCTGAAAGAAACATCGAGTTATCTTGTTATTACCCTAAGAGTTTATGATCCAATTATGGGATGATATAAGGAGTTTTTGTGTTTTAACTGTTTTTTCTATATTGCTACAAAAAAAACTTGGGCCCATTGAGAGAGACCCATTTGATATCAACTACGAATTCAAATAGGTCGTGGTGACTAGGGAAGGTTGTTTTAGGAATGACCTCTTCAAACACAAATGGAATTAGTGAAATACTCCCTCAGCTTTCAAACAAGCATTCATTAAGATTTAAGAACAAATTGTACTCTCCACTCCGCAAAAAAGGTCATGTTTGCAAAGATTATTTTTGTCCAACAAAAAGTCTAATTTCAACAAAGGGAGCTGCTTTTATTAGCCTGGCCACAATTTTCTTGTTTGCAACCAAACGAGCAAAAGTGAAAAGGTTACAACTAATAAAGAACGGATGTAGTATAGAAAAGTGCTCCAACCATTTTATGTATGTTGAGTTCAGTTTTAAACTACAAATAAACTTAAAAATAAGTATCATTAGCAATTAACAAGTGACACTGGCAGTAAACTTTGAACTGATTATAAGGGTATTAATTTGTACTTTAAGTTAATTGAATTGTCCTAAGGAAAAATTCCTTAAGTAGGACTAAAACAAAACATATTTCTTCAAATAGGACCATTATTGTTATTCCCTGAAATTATGGACTCATGCACTCTTTAGGAGCATAAAACAAAGACTCTCGTATGTGTATATGACCCATATTTTACTCCTATTTGCAGTACTTTCTTTTATCATTCCTATCCCATTACTTTTGCCTATGCACCAATGATAAAATATTCAAAATGGTTCAAAAGAAACCTTAAAGATGCAACAGATCCTGCATATTCAACTAAAAACTTACCTGAACCTTTAGCTGTCCACGTATTATTAACGCGGTCCAGTGATCTTTGGCATTATGTTTCAAGCACCCTGTCTTCACTTTCTAGGAGAGGAGCCTTAGCACCTCTGGACTCGGTGTTTATGGCCAAGTTGTCATTGGCCACCTTAATTTCTTTTGCTTTTCCCCACATTACACAGTAGAATCCGATAACAATTATAACCCATCCCACCAAACTGCAGATGCTCTAATCATTAGTAAATAAGCAGATGAAGTATTTATATGTGAGCATATGCATGCAAAGGGAACAGTGCACAGGTAACAAATTAAGTCGATATCCAAAGTTCAATCGCCTTTTTCCACCATTAGCAATGGAGCCAAAGACTCACTGTTTTTTGGCTTAAGAATGTGATGGAATAAAACAATTTTCGACTGTCCACGCTTCTTTATTATTCCCTCCGTCCCAAAATTAACTTCACAGTCACTATTCAAATGGTCAACTTAAATTACTCTTAATCTTATGTTTTATATATCAATTTTTTATCAAATTTACATTTTTTGATCAGGCTTTGTAGCGATTTTAATGTAGTTTCTGAATATGTAAATTTTATTTACTAAAAGTAATCTGAGTATGAACAGGGATCAAGTTGCTTTATCGTCGATCAAGCATCGTAATCCGAAATGGGAAGTTAATTTTGGGATGGAGGTAGTATGAACCAACAGTCAGTTCATGCAAATTTTTGACGCGGTTTTCACTATGAGTCATTCAGAAACAAGTCTCTATGTACTTTAATACAAAGGCAAGGTTGCGTACATCTGACCCCCCTTACCACACTATAGGTGGGGGCCTTTGCGGCAGGAGGGTAATGATATGATGTTCCAAAGTTCAATCACCATTAGCTATGATGTCACTTTATTTATAACTCTTCCAGTCCCATTTTTTTGTCACTATTACTATTGATGCAGTTGAGTTTTTGCGGTTCAATGGAAGTTTTAGCAAAGAATATAATTCTATAATTTTATTAATTACTACTAATTTAAAATTTTAAATATTATTAGGGGAGATTTTACTTAACTTCAGCCAAACCTCATAATCCGAAATAGGACACATATATAATGGGACAGAGGAAGTACTATTTTTATGTTACTCTATATGAACCTGAAAGAAGTTGTGTATACAAAAGGGATCAAAAGCACCTTCCGACATAGAAAATATCCCCCGAGAAGATTATTCCCAATGCAGCAGCAATTACAATACCTAAAGGATGGAACACAGCAACAAAAAGAGGCCCTTTCCTTCGTACGCACCAGACCATGACACTGACTTGGAAGGCAGAGCCAAAAATACCCTATAAAGCAGAAAGATGAAATATAACTTCAATGAAACTTTTAACATCGACTCAGATTTTAATGTGTCAAATGAAGTTTCCCATTTTGTGATGCCATGATTAAAGAACATATAAATAACTGGGTTTACAGCTCAGGAATTTGAGAAAGGATTATCAGACGCACACTCATAAAAGATTAATACTACCTCCGTCCCACTAAGATTGGGACAAGAGAAGGTGGCACGATTATTAAGAAAAGTGAGTTTTGTGTGGTTGATATTAAATTGATAAAGTAAGAATACAGTAAAAATGATTTTGAGCCACAAATACTTTAACAAATTTGGTATGGGGCAATCTTAGTGGAATTTTCCGAAAAGGTAAAATGGGACAATCTTAGCGGGACGGAGGGAGTAGCTTATATGCCTAATAATAAAATGAAAAGCAAAGTCAGTTAAAATAGTGAAGACTTTGAGTTATGAGAATACAAATAAAACTTCATAAGTGCATATTGCATGTCTTTTGTAGGCATCATCTTAGCATTTAGGTTGAGATAAGGAGTAAAGATAGTAGTGAATGATAATTGGGTTCAGGAAAGAAATTAAAAAACAAAACTGACCGAGTAAAGGACAGCAAGCCACCTCATATCAGGCGTCAACATCCAAGCATTTAAGTCCCTGTCCACAATTAGAGAGATGACTGCAGATAGAATTGCCGTAAAGAAGAAGTAAAAGAAGACCACGATCAGTTCTACTGGGTAATTCTTAAGAATGGATGCCTGTAGAAATCAATGAAAAATGCAGTTGCCAAAGATTAGATCTATAATGTTTCAAAGGCTTTCAGCCTTTCAGCCTTTCAGTACACCAGTTTCTGCAATTCCAGAATGTGAAGAGTTTAAGATACTAATAATATACCTGTACCACTAGAAAAGCAGAAGATGCCACACAGTCAACTAACAGGAAAGCTGCCCCAATAACCCAATTTACTAGAGGTAAATGTAAACGGTGAAAGTTGGATCTTGAAGAATCTGAGGTAGTCAAAATTTGTGATCCCTTATAGAGAGTAGCAATGAATGCTCCAATGATTGAGACAACAGTCCCGGTGCATTTCGCAATGGTGCTTGAGCTGGCAAGATCCAACTTTTCCATTCTAAAGCAACCACGTTTGAAAAATAGTGTCAGCTGTTTTTGCTGTTCCATTTTTTCATGTTATAGAAAACTGGCTTTGATGGTAGCACACATGTTTTTAGTCTTTCTACTGTTGTATAAATGACATTTTTGGTACCCATTTTTAAAACTTTCCAATTTTAGTCATTGAACTCATGTGACAAAGACACTTTTGTTACTCATCTTCAAATTTTTCCACTTTTCCTCCTCCACCTATTGTGAAATTGACACTTTTGGTACTCATCCTGAAATGTTGACACAATAAGCGGATGACTAAAATTGTCGGTATCACAGTAAGAAGAAGACTATAAGTATGAATTTCATAATTGTAGGAGAACTAAGACGAGAAAAATTCAAAGACGGGTATCAACATTAATATAATAGTCGATGGTTTAAATGTGATAAAAACTCTTTGGGCAGGATACAGCTCTTCCAACTAATCAGTCGTACTTATATCATTTGAGCTTATTTTTTATTTAACTAAATTGTCATATTTAGCAAGATCGAGAATACTTTTTCAGAAATTAGACAAATAATTAGTTTCTTTTGTTGATAAACAACACTTTTTTAGGATTTTGTTTTTTAAAATTGGACTCTTTTTTATACATGACCAACTATATCTGCAGTAATAATAGTTTCATAAGCTCCATTTCCATCCAATCTATTACCTGTTGAATCTTTCTAATTGATTTACATTTTGATTCATGCTGCAAGAGTGGGGTTTTGTTAATTCAAGGCTATTACTATATTTTTATGAAATCCTAAACTCCTAAAGATCCTTACTAAGGGTTAAAACTAGAAATGGATATTTTTGGACTGTCCAGCCATACTTTCCAATATTTTCCCAGCACCTAGATTGTTTTTCTTAGTAAAATAACCAACAAAAACTACAGGTACCATCATTTATTTACTTTCATGTGTAAGCATCTTTTCTTTTTTCTTGCACACTATCATTGTGTTTTCTTCTTTTTCCTTTCATTACAAAAACAAATCATCAAAACCAATCTGAATTGGAACTTTCTGGTTTATTTCAATAAAACACAACACCTTAAGTCTTAAACATATAAAGGGCTGTAAGTAAAAGGAAGATTAGT